AAAATAAACATTACTGGAGAGGGTATTTTCAGTTACTAAATTTCGTCAAAATAAATAATTTAAATTTTAATAGAAGCATAAATTAGTCATTTATAAATAAAAACTAAGAAACCATCTTTTGACATATAAAATATTTTATAGTTTTTATTTTCTAAATTCATATAAATTTTATTCACAACAAAATGGTACAAATTTAATTAACATATAATTAGAAAAATGATTATAGAAATTAAACACTTTTAAAAGCTATATTGTGTCTTGTAAAAAAAATATAATAATAATTTTTGTTCTTGTTTTAGTTATTCTAAAAAACATAAGTAAATATATAAATCAAAAAATAAAACTAAACATTTTATATAACCAAATGAAACTTGAAACCTACTATAGATTAAAAGAAAAACAAGGTGTTAAAAGCCATATACAGTGAGAAACAATTAAATTTAGATATCTGAGTATATAACAAAACGTATAGGAATTATTATTCAACAACAGACAAAAAGCCAACAAAGTCAGGCCATGAATGAACATTTAAAAAAGTACATGAATTACTGCTACTCAGGCAAAAGAATTAAGTATTTAAACGTGTTGTTAACCGAGATTACAGTGATTAAATTAAATGAAAAAAATATTTAAGATAGTTAAATTTCCGTAATTGAATAATTACAACGAGTTAAAAATTTGATTTAATCTTTTTTAAAAAAAAAAAAAAAAAAACTGCTAGTAGTGTTTCAACATCTGTGTTTCATAATCACAGGGGACCAAATAACATACAAAAGACTATTTAATTTTAAATAATATGGGATGAAAAAAAAAAATAAAATAAAATTATGCAATATGCCGAGGCATATAACCGAGTTCTCTCTCTAACCACAGAAATCGACTCCTCATCCTATCTTTTTCCTGATTAATCAGAGCTTTTAACACTACAAAAATATTTTCAATAACACACCAGCATATTGAACAGCGAAGAATGTGAGTAACAGGCAAGGAAGGGGTAAAAGAGTGAAAAGTATTTAGATCTTTCGGATAAATCCAACTTGAGCTTGACAGTGTTCACCATTTTCATTAAAACGGCTACGCCCCGTCATAGTGCTGCCATCATGGTTCTTGTGGCAGCCTCGCGCTTCATCTCTGCAGCTTTCCCGCTGCCTCGGAAATACATGTAAACTTGCTACAAATTGCGAAAACAATAAAAAGAAGAGCTTAGATTGTATCTAAAATAAATGGAACTGTATTGGAATAAAAGCAGAAGTAAGGTCAGATTAGGGAACCTGAATAACCCAGATACTGATCATTGATTCAATGCAGAAGAATGCAAAACCAATAAGGTAAAATATCTGCCAGAAAAAGATAAGTCAAATGCTGATAATATCAAGTCTTCTCGTGAATTAGGTGTTAAGACAAACATAAACAAACAAACTGGACACTCTTCAGGTCCCCAACAGTCCTACACAGAATTAGATAAGCAATCATGCAAGAAATATATGGATGAAATTTGACAAATTTAGCTGGCATAGCAACAAAAAGAATTGAAGCTTACCCCAACCAGTGCATTACCGCTCAAGATATCAACTGCTGGCAAAATACCTCTGTTAACATTACATCATAACTTATCAGATAGTGGAAAAAATATGACTATCAATTAAATTCTCTTATCGCAAAGGGGAAAAGTAGAGAATAGGACAAGCTGTCCTCAATATTAAAAGACAAAATCCACTAAAAGTAGTGATGAATGAACACTGTAAAAGGCTATCCAACACTAGTAAAAACGTCACTCTTTACCACAGAACGTCATTTGAAAGAGAGAAGGAAAACAATAATGAATCAGTTGCTCTCTTTTCAAGCTTAAGCACTCAAAAATGGAGAAACATAAAACACAAACTTACGTAAGAGATTTGCCCTTGAATATAATTGGAGGAGCAACAGCAGAAAAGATACAAAAGCCAATGTGAAGCTGCAACATGAGAAAGTGGTTCAAGAAGTTACCTATATTTAAGAACTACTTCCATGTAATTCAATGAAAAAAGATATGAAAGGAATGTGGCACTCTTACCAGGTAAAACAAGAAAAACCACCCAAACTTTAGTGCGCTATCAGTCCTGTTAAAAGGAATTCGGATTAAGTTATGTACCTCAAAAGCTATTGAAAAAAATTTGTATATTAGGTAAACCAGGTTTATCACAAACAATTAACATAACAGAAGATAAGGGTTGCACTTTTTACTACTTTGTATTTGAAGTAGCCATCATTCCATTGAGCTATTTTTTAATACCCTAGAAAGATTGGGAACATCATGCAGACTCTGACACAACACAATCTCATTAACGTGCCACAGTGCATTAAGGTGAACTATCCATATTTGAATAATATATAAGAGGTCAGTATATGAAGTTACCATATATAAAAATGAAAACATGCCATAGTCCAGTGCTGCTTGGGGTTAGCAAAAATAAATAGATAATACATATAAGTCACTGTATGTACAAGTATGTCAATTTCTTATAAGTCACTAAATTTAAAACCTTCAAACATGAGATGATCTTTTGAAATCCAATGAAACATCCTTCCATATGAAAAGAATTTGAATGACCAAACATGAAGCAAGCAATATTTAATTAATCTAAAAGTCAGATTGACTCCCAACATCATCCAGAACCCCCAAAAGAATCGCTGACATGCACGATCACCATTTGACTTAAATTTCAGCCTCCTCAGAGAACAGACCCATTGAGAAAGAGAAAAAGAACACATAAAACATAAATGAATAACCTTGGTCTTTAAAATGTTTCACAGCCAGAAGCCTGAAGGTCTCATAACAGCAGGCTTTAAGAAACTGTGGATGAAACAAATGAATAAAGGTTCACTTCTGGATGATTAAAGAATAGTACCTCATAGCACGATAAAGAGGACGATACCACAAGACATATGCCCCAGGAACCCCAGATATGAAGTAGATGATAGCAAGAAACCATATTGTTGGACCTGAAATAGAAGAACGATTCAGACGAAATGATACAGCCAGTAGAATGATTCAAATGAAATGATGCAACCAGTAGAACATTGACAATGGCCAAGAAAAACTAACCTTCACCCTTAATCCAGGCTAAGGTAATTGCCACAATATTCCATAAGAGACAAACAATCAAACCTGCAAAAGGCACAAAGATCCATAAAGTCCTCCCAGCACAGAATATCTTACTGTTCTGGATCAAAATATTTTTCCATTAAGAGAAGACAGAAAGTAAAGAAAAGAAGACCTACTCACAACACAGCAACCCTTGTGACCAGAAACCCAAGCAAAGAATACAAGTAGTAATATTATGATTGAGCTAAAGGAATACATTTAGAAAAACAACAGGGAAGAAAAGCCAGAAGCAGACAAAAAGAGGAGAATGATCTTTTACATGCCTCATTTAATCTAAATCAAGCTTGATACCCAATGAATATGTTTGCTTTTTTCGAAATCAAAATAAGAGTATGCAAAACGGAAAGTTCTATTTTGTAGCTTTACTTTTATACAGATTTGATTGCTAAGGAGTATAATTTATATCAAGCATCATCAGAAAATTAAATTAGTAAAGCTTTTTTATGATTACTAAGCTGAAGGGTGGAAAAGCTAAAGCTGGAGAGGATTTTCTATTTTATGAGTCAGACCAATCAGCTTATTCGGTTTCTGAGTATAACTAACCAACTCTTTTAAGTTTAATTATCTATAACTTTTGTAAGATCTATAACATTTTTCATGCAGGAAAAGGAAGAGGGTCAAAAGGCAACAAAGGGGCGCAATCTGCGTACAGAAAGTAAGGCTTTACTAAAGAGTCTATTAAGTATGTCCTAGGTCCTCATCTAAATGATCCCTCCATGAATCCATAGGCATAGAATTTGCAACAAAATGTCTCTAGTAAAAAAGGGTTGCACAACCCTTCAAAATCCCTTTTACCACTTTCTTCCCATACAACCCAGAGAGAGAATTATTCTCTCTCTTTTTTTTGGTAGCATGGAACCATCATCCGCAGAGCTCATCCTTTACTGACATTTTTTTATATACAATATAAATAATCTAAATAAGTTAAGTACCAACCATATGCTTTGGTTTAATATCACTCAGTGCCCTCTAAAATTTTAAAGGCGTCGCTACCTCTCTACCTACTCTTTCCCATGATATTAAGATTATAATTTGACATAAACGAAAAAATGGTCAATAAATTTACAAGTCTGACAAACAAAGGTGAAGAGACCAACTTTAGTCAATCAAAACAACTATAGGTGGAAGAAAATATAAAAGGTAACAAAACCAGAGGTTTTATAACATCAGTGAGAGAGTGAAATACTTTCACATGAATGCCTCTCCTAGATTTTACAACTACATCCTTTTTCGTGTGTCTACTTTTTGGGTCATTTGGGAAGAGAGACAAACGAATTTTAAAAGGTTGGCTCTTATTTTGTTAAAACTAGGGACACTTAGTCCTATTCACTGTGCGTTTAATAACATTCTTTGCAGGAAAAAAAAAAGAAGGTTTACATACCCAACAATGTGGTGAATGCAATATATTGAATCCTTTGTAAATGAATGGGTATTTCATTTGCAATATCGTGATGGATAAGAGGAAAAAATGGTGGCCAATTTTTCTCCTCAATTACAACTCCAGCTGCAAAAATAGAAAAAAAAAAAGCATATATTGAGATCCACCCAACAATTCAAGCTGCAGATATACCAGCAAACCTATATACATAATGAAATACCTCGTGATATTGCATCTTCCCTCCGTTTCAATTCCTGCATAACATAAAGAAAAATAATAGCTTACTTGGCACGAGGATATTTGTTTCTTAAAAAGACAAAAGGAGCAAATAATAACAACAAGAGCTTACAGTAATAATATTTACTTTAATAAAAACATTTCAGATGTACATCTTGAAATCCTTGTTTCATCTTCTTATGATAACAAACTCAAATTACTATCCTCCATTGCCAAATATTACAATGAAGCTGCAACAACTGACTCTAAAGAAATTTCTCTTAAAAACTAATTTTTTAAAAATGACTAATATAAATTGAAATTTGACAGAGAGTTGATTTATTAGCATATATTAGTTAAGTAATCCATCTGAAAACATCAAATTTATCATTTAACCCCTTCAAATTTCCAGATTACAATAATATAAGAAATTACCTGTTCCCTCTTTTTCAACTCAGCCTCCCTAGCCTGGAGTTCCTTCTCCTTAGTTTTTAAATCCTACAAGTGGCAGAAGGTAAAATGTAACAAAAGCCTTTCTTTGTTGTGACAGAACATTCAGGACACAGAATATATTGGAGTACCTTTCCAGAGTCGAGAGGAATATCAATTGTCGCTCCGCGATCATATGGTTCAGGCGGAAGGGGAGAGAGTCTTGAGGTTGCAGGGGGAACAGTTCCGGGATTCTATAAATTGTAAAAGAATGTCTTACGAGTGAGCAAAATATGTATACTAGCATAAGCACCTAACTCAATAGATCACACAGGAACATAGATAACAGTAATACATTGTTACTGTTGCACAAATTTAAAACAAAAAAAAAAAAAAAGAAAAGAAACTACCAGAACATTGATATAATAGTGGTAAACATTGACCAAAAGACTGAACAAGCAAATGGAAAATTAATTATACGTAAACTCTTGAGAAACATTATCTTTGTATAGCCTTAATGACTTTAGCTACCATCATCGCTAGGTTGCTCATTGCCCAATAATGACATTTTTATAGTGAAACAAAAGTTCATTCACAAGGCACCAGAAGGGTGCACTCTGTAAAATAACACAAAATTAATTACAAGAATAAAGGCCAATCAAGCCCACAAGATTTCCATCTTTGACGAGAGTGTGATAAAAAATCCAAAAGTACAGGTTCTAAAGCCAAAAAAGTCAATATGCCCTTCCTTTCCTCTCCTTCTAAATTGTATATAAACCAGAGATGGGTATGACAACCATCCCTTATAAACAGTATAAAAAAGGAGCTACTGTAAGTCATGGTATTCTCGGATTTAGCATTCCACCCATTCTGGTATATTTCCTTACTTTAGCATTTTTTAGAGAAGTTCTTCCTTCTAGCCATTTCTAGGTTAACAGCTGAGAGATATGTCGTGCATTTGTTTTTGGGAGGACAATTGTTTAGGTGAATCTCATTTTCCTTATTACTTTCCTTGCATTTACAGATTATCATTTTTCTCATCTTTTCCGATCATTTTACCTTTTTTTTCGTGTTGTTCCTGGCCAAATTTGTAGATTTGGAAACCCGATTCATTTGAGTATCTAAAACATAGAAAATCCTCTTTCAAATTTCAACTAGAAGTCCCTCTAGAGATAATAAGGCCTTTGCTAGTCCTTTTTTGAAGGTGAAAGCTCCCCCAAAGAAAAGTGTTCTTTTGAATTGGCCCTAAACTAGATTAATACACAGGATTGCTTCAGTATTATAGACCAAGCTGGGATTATCTCCAGATATTGTTTGATGTCCCATCAGTTTATTTCTTCACTACAAAATGACTTGATCTAGACTAAACACTTTATATTTGGTAATCATTGGGTTTAGGAGGAATAAGAGGAGACTATTTTTGCTGGGGTATAGGTCTTATGATTGGAGAGGAATGCCATGGTTTTCAAAGATTCTTTTCAAACTCTCCTTCTTTGGGACATACCTGTGTCCTTTGGTTCACTTTGGATTAAGGGTGTCATTTCAGGGTTTTCTTTTCCTAGTTGCAAAGGGATTCAAATGCCCTTTTGTGTTAATGGATTTTCTTCGTTTAGTCCTATGTCCATTTGTGCTTTTATAGGAGAGTATTTTATCCTATCTATTTTTACTAAGTTTTTCCTTTTTAAAAATTTCTCGTTTAAAAAAGGAATGGATACAGAAGAAAATTTCTTTTTAATGACTTGTAGAAAGCTGTGGACTAGTGAGACAAACAATCTCTGTTAGATTAATTTAGTGACATTACATTACATCCAATAGCTGCTGATTCTTGAATTTCCCCTTCTTCATTAAAAAGGAAATCATCAGCTTAAGGCCTAGAGTAACAATCCCAGATGGCAAAACAAATCGAAAAGCGAATCTATTTAAATCAACAATCCCAGACATGACTTACCATTCTTTTTTGCTTTCTTCCTATTTTAATAACCGATCAACATTTTATAGATACAAAAGTTGTATCTAGCAATCTACCACCTCCCATTTCAACCGCTTCATGAGCAGCAGAAAAAAAAAACAATAAAACAAAAAGAAACAAATAATAACAATTCCGCATTATCAAAAATGATCTGAAACCTTCAATGAGGCCACAAACTCACTGTTGTAAAAAAGGCACCTCCACTGTAATTTGATTGACCCGATCGTTTCTTACCCCCATGGTCCTGATATTAATTAAAAACATTCAGGTCACACGAAGACATAAAATACTTAAAAGCTACACCAGGACTCATTTCTTTACGTGGAGTTACATCATAAATCCCATAAATCGGGAATTACGGATCATCATAAACACTCCACGATTATGGATATCCCCAGACGATAGATTTGCAACCAAAAAAAAAAAAAAAAAAATCTGTCTCGGAAAATGGCAGCAAAAAAGAAAATAAAAACTTCAGTATCTAAATGTTCAGCAACCAAACACAGCATCAATCAACAAGAACAAGGTAACCCCCCAAATTAGCAAATCTCCAGCAGTGACAATGTAAAATCGAAGGATAAGAAAGCATTATAATAAATCAAAAAGTTTCAATCTACCGCATTAATCAATCAAAACAAATAGATCTATCAATCTAGTTCAACATACATTAAACTCAACAAACAAAAACAAATCCACGCAGAAACAAATTTAATTCAACCTTTCCAACAGATGGAAATGATGCACACAACATGCTTAAGCATCATCATACTTAAGATAAACATAATTGCAGAGCTTACCGCAAAAGGATTAACCTCCTCTTCTTCAAAGGGATTAGACTCGTAGCGACTCATAAATTCGAATCAGAATATCCAAGTAAAAGAGATCTGAGAATTCAGAAATAGAGAGAGATTCGAGGAAATTAGGACCTCTACGAAGAAAATCAGGAAAGCGAAGAGAGCAAGCGTTGAAAATTAGGAAGATTGTTTTGTTACGGAAGAGATAGAAGCTTTGCCACGCACTGAGTGGTTCTCTCGGGGCGTTTGTTTCGTAGGAAAATGTGAGAGAGAGAGAGAGAGAGAGAGAGAGAGAGAGAGAGAGAGAGAGAGCAGAGAGAAGGTTCGTTCGGAGAAGAAATGGGGAAGAGAGGGAAGAAAATTTTAATGGTGGTGGTGTCATTGGGTTTGAACTCGTTTGAGTCGACTCGTGATTTGGGTTAGTGGGCTATTAATTAAGCTTAATGAATGACGGAAATCAATTTTCCTTTTTTGTTTATTTTCAGAGGAATTATTTCCCATTGTCCTCTAATTTTGGATTTTTTTTTTCTTTTCAACCAAATTAAGCTTATTATTATTTTCCACAACTATATTTAAAATAAAATTCCTAAATATATTTTTATTTAATTATCTCATTAATTTTTCAATTAACTTACTAATCCTCTTTTACCTAATTTTTATGATTCATATGTAACTTTCTTGAACTTATAAACTTTTTTTAATACCTTTTATAAGATAAATTAAACCAAATCACACATAATTTATTTGTTATTAACAAATCCAATTTAAGATAAATTATTATATTAATCCCCAAAATTTATCTTAATTTTTAGAATTTAACATTTATTATAATTTACTCTAATATTTTTTTCACGATTTAATTTATGGTATTTTTTATTTATTTCAAATATTTAATTTTTTTATTTTTTAACCAAAAAAAAAATTAATGCTATATTTAGATATTTAAAAAATTAAATAACTAATTACATTAATAACAACCAAAATAATTTTTATTGAAATTAGATTAGTAGCAATAATTTAAGTTCATGGTCAATTAATCTGACTTAAAAATTATAATCTAATTTCATATATATATATATAATTCCAGTAGCCAAACCCTCCATCTTCTCCCTACAAACAACCATTAACACAAATGTATATATATATATATATATATATATATGTGTGTGTGTGTGTGTGTGTATTCACATTTTAACCCAAAAATTGTATAACAATAAATAAAATAACTCAACAAGTAAATAAACTATTACAAAATCTTTCATATTTGGTATAAGTGCAAGTAACATATAGTACATAATAAACATAAGCATCACAAAATCTGCAGGCAAATATTTTCTAAAGTTATATTTTTCAACACTAGAAAGATTTTCACTTACCAAGAATGAATAACAAATATTGAAGTACGAAATAATTGGGTTAGCACATTTTTGTTGCAGAGACAAATCACTGCATAGTTTGCTGAACTGAACAATAGAATGACTGTAATCCTTGATTTCTGAAGAATCAAATGATCCTCTATCAAAGGCTACGAGGGTTCTAGCTGATTTTTCAGACTTCGAATTTGGGCCCAAGACGTGAAAGGTTGGTCGATCCTTGGTCTGTTAGCAACGCTACCCTTTCGGAGAGATGCGTCTTTTTCTTGTGGGGTTCACCAGGAAGATCAGATTTCTAAACCATTGTGATTTAGAAGCTGAAATCATCTGTTTTTACTCATCTGTGTAAATCATCCCCATTGACCTATTTGCTTTAGCGCTCTCTTCGAATAATGTCCAACAGATCCTGAACAACTTCGGACATCGGAGGCCTGAATTCTGGCTCAGACTGCCAAATGTAGTTTGCGTCAGACAATGAGCAAGCCATACAGGTATAGATAAAGAGAGAATGGACAAAATTGTGATGTATATTCGAATTCCTTTCCATGAGCTAGCGAATATAAACATCAATTCACAAAACTTAAAGACGAAAAGTGAAATTCACACCTGAACACATCGCGAAATGATATCAGCAAAGTGGGATAATGATTTAGCTGGATATTCACCGTTGAGACAAGGATCAACCATTCTGGACAATGCATCAATATCATGAAGTTGGGGAATTGCCCATCTCACCAGAAGTATCTCCCCTCTATTTCTTGTCCTGCATTACATTTTTCAGAGGATATAAATTGATTAATTGGCCAGACGAAGGCATCCCAACACTAACAAGAAATATCTTCAGCGGGTTACCTGTCATAGGATTTCCGGCCCGTCAAGAGCTCTAACATAACCACCCCAAAGCTGTAAACATCGCTTTGTTGAGTATAAATTCCAGAGTCAAATTCGGGGGCGCCATAACCATAAGTTGATAGGAGCTGCCCTGACAACTGAAAGTAAAACAACTTCAGACTTACAACCAGATTACTTGGCAACTAACAACTGCAAATCTGTTTGGTTTGACTACTTAAAAGTCCGAACAAATCTAGTTAATTTTCATGCCAATCAAGAACAGAAAATATCTGTTTGATGTAATCAGGAAAAGAAAGAGAGAAATTTGTCCCCTTGAAAGCATAGTAGTATTTAGGGT